AAAAAAAAAATAGATATTATGAATGAAACAATTTCTTGAGCAAGTCAGCATAACTATTAGGCATGTCTGCCCATTATATTTTTATAATAAAGATGCACACTTATATGAAATGTCTCTTTTTGTTTAGTTTTAGTTAGAGTATGAAATTTCACTTTGAAAGTATGAATATATGTTGATAATGTATGACTGCCTAACCGTTAAATTTGATTATAAGTTAGGCCTACCTATCGTAGTCTTACTGAAATAATTATAGGTAGTAGGAACTCTCAAATTACTTTTGTAATATTAGTGTAGCTTAAGAAAAGACTAGTTTAGTTCTTTTTTTTTTCCCAAAACGATAGAGATACTATATTAATAAAACCGCACAACGTGCGAAGAGAAAGCAGTCAAAGGCTGAATAGTACAACCAAAGACTGAAAAAACTGAGAGGCAGATCCGAAGATCGCCTAAAGCCTGACCTAGCAACGCTAGAATAACAAAGCTCACAAACTACACCAACTAACAACACCGACAAAACTAAAAACTAAAACAGACTACCAACAGGAGAATACCTGAGTGTCGGCTCCCAACAGGAGAGTAAGTTTGACACTCAGGCGCACAGAGGCCAAATGACCCAAACCAAAAACACAATACCCAAAAAAAACAAACTAACACGAACGAGACACAAACAAAAAAAAAAAACTAAATAGATACTAAATAGAATATGGCCTTCCCCAGCCAACACACGATCCCAAAAACCAGTAGAAAAACAGTCGGTCCAAGAAGATCCCAAGCCCGAGGAACTGCTACCGAAACTGCGAGACTGCCTATACAGCAACCGAACCCGAACTCTGAAACCAACTCAAATCAACCCACCATCAACCGAGAGAACAAGACTCGATCCCATCACCAGCACAACCCAACACGCCTATCACCACTAGCCGTAATCGGGAGCGCCGGACCCCATCGTCCCCAACACCAGAGGACCGGTGAGGTGAGAGCAGCCATGCCCTACAATTCCCACAACCGCAACACCGGGTGTCGCAGCCACTAGGGCCCCGTTCTGTCCACCAGCATTCCCACCACCAAATCTCGTCACAACCCGCCGGAAAATGGACCCCCGCACATCCACCAGAGGCTCCAACATCAGTGGAGACCGGAGGTCCTCGAACGCGAAACGAGAGGGAGATCGAGATGTTGAACCCCTCCAATCGAGGACCCGACGGTGGAGGACGACCATCAGACTCAGATCGAGGACCCACCACTCTAATCGGGATCTCGATGACTGTCGAGGGCATCGAAGGCAGCTAATTCATCGCCAACAACTGCAGCGAGAGGGGGAAGGTGCGAAGCCCGTGACGGAATGGGCGGTCGACGGCGACCACCGGCTCGAGCCTCGCCGTCGACGAGAAGGCCGGAGCTGCGCAAATCGGCGTCTGCAAGAGAGGGTTTTCGACGAGAGGAAAAAAGGAGTTTTTGAAAAGCAAATCAAAATCTTAGTTTAGTTCTTGAGGTGACAAATATATATATATATATATTAATGGCTTAAATAATAACAATTCTTAGTTCGTAAACTGCAAATATCATATATGATGAATCTATCTATCTATATATATAAAGCCATCTTATTTACTAAATTTAGTAGCAATAAAAGTCAAAGAATAATTAATACATTCTATTTTTATCATTTTTTCAATTGTATTTTTAATTTATAAACCGGTATGCATTAATTCCATCCTTAATTGATGTGTTGTGCAATAAAATCGAACAGATAGACTTCAAGTAAAATCATGTCTCATTTCAAATATAAATTTAAATATTAAAATTTCTTATCATTTTGTTACATTAAAATCCTGAATGAATTGTTTACCATAAAATCGAACAAAATAATAATTACATATAATTCAAGTAAAAGCATGTCTCATTTACAATTAAAATTTTAAAATTCCTTATCATTTTGTTACATTTCCGGATGATTTGTTTCTGATAACATCAGACGGAATTAATAATTGCATAGAATTCAAGAATGATTTCGAATTTATATCAAGGATGTTTAATAAATGCATAGAATTTCAAAGACGTTTATTTATTATAAAAAAATAAATTCTAAAAAAATATTTGTGTATATTTTGTAAAATATTTGTGTATATTTTGTAAAATATTTATACAAAATGTTTTATTTTAAATTTATTTACATAATTTAAATAATTTACATTAATAAATAATATTAACATACATTAAATATTTTAATTCCATAAAACAAAAAGAAGAAGAAGAAGACTACATCTATAACCTGTATAAATAATAATAATGACATTATATTACTATAAATTTTATAATAAAATAATATGAGTATTATACGAGGAACAAGATTACGTAAAATTGTTATTTTTCTTATATCAAGAAATAAATATATAATGAAATCAAATTTATAATATTTCAAACATGTGAGCTGGATAATATATTAATTAATTTACATGCTAGCGCTATGGTCCACTCATTTAATATCTCAATCGCACGAGCTACTTAATGAAGTTGATGAAAATAGGTAAAAAAATAGATGATCAAACTCTATCATTTTTTAGGCCTGAACGGACAAGCCCTATGGTCCACTCATTTAATATCTAAATCGCACGAGCTACTTAACTGACAAGCTCTGTGGAAATGAATCATTTAATACTTTTGTCCCGTGCATCGCACGGGCTACGTAGGACACGACACCTTAAGATATCAATTATCATTTTCCTATTTTATTCTACACCATAGATGTTTTAGTATTACAAGAACTCAATCATGTGAACATGCACTGATACATGTAAAATAGTACAAGGCATATGCATAGATATTATATTTAAAATTATAAGTTAGATAATGATTATATCACATTTGATAAATATGATCATTAGTAGAAATGAAAATTATAATAAAAATTAGTTTAATTATATATGAATCACTACATTATACAGTGTAATGAATCATATGTTTTTTGTTTCTGTTTTTTTTTTTTTTTTTTTTTCTTACAAATGTAAGCGATTATGACCATTTAATAATTTGAGAAAATATTAAAATTAATATTATTATAGCAACTATTTACATAATTTAAGGAACTGGTTATGCCACTATAATCATTTAAGTACTTAAATATTTCGTATTATGAGAAAAGTAAAAAGATAATATTAATTTTAAAATAAATAGCTTGAAGGGAAAAGATTTGCTATAATTTCTTTTATAAGTGCGTTGGAATATCACTTATGAGTTGTCCCACATTGATTATATAGGGTAAACGAGTCTAGTTTATAAGTCTTGTGGGCTACTCCTCCCATCACCAATTGGTTTTGGGATGGAACCTCAATAAGGTGCACCTAAGTTCACCCTTTTATGGTGTGTTTCATTTGGTGGGACCACACTCTCGTCTCCCGGTTTTAATATGGCATCAGAGCGGACCTGTCCTAGGACCTGCAATGACTCTCTCTTCCCGGCCTGCTCTGGGTTTGGGTTTATCTCTCTATCCGGCCTGCTATGTGGGCTTGGGCTTACGAATGACTCACAAATGAGGGGGCCTTATCATGAAATCACAAGTGAGGGGGCCTGTTAGAATATCACTTGTGAGTTGTCTCATATTGATTATATAGGGAACATGAGTCTAGTATATAAGTCTAGTGGGCTACTCCTTCCATCACCAATTGGTTTTGGGATGAAACTTCACTAAGGTGCATCTAGGCTCACCTTTTTATGGTGCGCTTCATCTGGGATGAAACTTCACTAAGGTGCATCTAGACTCACCCTCTTATGGTGCGCTTCATCTGGTAGGACCGCACCCTCTTCTCTTATTCTAATATGGACTTATGAAGAACTCACATTGTGAGGGGCGTGTTAGAATATTATATGATAATATTAGTAGTCATTATCATATGATAAAGTGGTTGAAAAAATTGTTACAATTTGTTAATACAAAATGTAACGGTTAAGCTTCCATAGTTATATGAAAATAAAGTGAGCGGAAAAAAAATAATTGTACAAGTAGCTTTATTCAAAATAATTATATATATGGAGAAAACAACTAGAAATCTTCACCACGTCAGGTTGATGTGAACCACATATTTATTGAGATATTTACTGGGATTCTATCTTTCGGAGTAGTCATGTTTATCTGGATTCTATCAATATCTTTTAAATTTATAAAATACTTGACTAATTTAAATTATAAATATAATTAAAAGTTAATAATTTTTGTATTTGTTATCATATACAATATTTTAACTAATCATCTTTTGACGAGCTTTTATATCAATATTGTTTATCTAACTTAAATAAATAGTTTTATTTTTATTGTAAAATTAAATATCTATTAATACAAATTAAAAATTAATAAAAGTATCAATTAAAAACAATATCTATATATTTATTATAGATGAAATTAAAAAAATTATTATAATATAGACGCAAAATCGTACAAGTGAAAAGGTATATTTTAAATATAAACAATAATAAAATTTGTATAATGTTTAAAATTAAATTAAAATAAATTTCCCTCTTATATTTTTTTTAAGAATTTCAGTATACTTTTTTAATACGGTAATATATTAATTAAGAAAGTTTAAAATTTTTGAATAACACTCATTTTCTACAAGGGAGTCTTTTCATACTCGACTCATGCTGGCCTTTGTGTCACGCTTCAATTGCGAAATCAGATAATTAGTTTTAATAATTTCAAAATATTATATATATATATATATATAATTTTTTTATAAATACCAATAAATCATAATTTTACATGTCGATTTTATGCCTAAAAGTTTTATTATGTTATCTCGACATAATTCGTAATACATAAATATATATATATATATATAT